AGAGTGTGAGAGATGTAATGTGTTGTGTTGCTTTGGGCGTTCTTGGGGTGATGTCAAGTGTGGTGGTCAAGGTTGGGTGTGAGTTCGTGGAGGTGAGTGGTGTGAGGAAGTGAGTTTGTGTGTGAGTGGGATTAAAATTTAAAAGGGGAGGCGAATGTTCTATGCGACCGTATAGAACACTTTGATGCGGTCGCATAGAATAAGTGGTCAGGGCCATTTTTGGCCTTGAACCACTGTATACGATCGCATAGCCTGGTGAACTATGCGGTCGCATAGAACACCAGGGAATCAGGTGTTTCCTGTGTTCAACTTAAGTTCCAATCTCAAGACTCGATACCCCAAAAACCTCGATTTTCATGCTAATAAGTCCAACAACATGTAAGGACTATAATGCTATGGAAAAATTTGCAAATCATGTGCAAATGAGTGAGATGAGGTGGAGAAACATGAAAACTCTCGAAAAACCTAACCCTGAAAACTCAATTTAGGTAGATTTTCACAAAAAAAAATGCGATTTGTACCCCCTCAATACAACTCGATGCTTCAATGCTCTCACATTCATTACAAATCACTGCGTGTGCGTGTGAACCATGAATTTTACTCCAAAAGCACTTTTTAATCCTGAAAACACAAGTGGATTCCCCAAAATACAAAAATTGCTTCTTGTTGCCTCGAAACACGTGAATTGTGCACACAATTGATAATGACCATGTGTACTCCCCCAACCTGCTTCTCGACGTGTTATAAGCATTGTGGGCTCATGCTTGTACTCTGAAGGATTGTTAGGGTTGATGAGCAGTATAGCATGTTTAAAATGAGAGAAAGACATGGAAAAATTCAATTTTCATCAAAAACCTCTTTTCACTCCCACATTGCCAAAATAACATTTCAAAGCTCGTACAACCCGTCCAAACCTATTTTAAACTTTAAAATGCGTGTGGATGCAAGAACATGGTTTGAAAAAGCATGTTGGAACACAAAAACACAGTTTGATCTCAAAATCCCAAATGTTGGTCAATGAGCCCACCCCATACATCCAACACTCCCAACAGGTATCAAATCACATTTTAAACTAACCGAGGTGCATATGGGCTGTGATGACACATGTAAAGACTACTCTCAATCAAAAATTCTCTGTTTGCCTAGAGAAGCGTGAGTATTGGTTCCCATTCACCTAAAAATGATTCCAGCACTACGTAGGATATGGATAATACATTCAAAACTAGTATGGATTATGCATGGATGATTTGTGAACTGACTAAATGATTGATGACCTAGAACTACCAAAATGCATAAAAAATGAAATTTGCTAAAATGACTACATTAAGCAAAATAAGTAAAAGGGTAAAAATGATGGGTTGCCTCCCATCCAACGCTAGTTTATAGTTGATAGCTCGATTATACCGTATGGAAATCACTCTGGTGGTTTAAGATGAATGGTGGATTTGTCTTTTGTGAAGTCCCCACTCCAGTAGTATTTTAAGCGTTGCTTGTTGACCTTGAACATTCATTTGCTCTTACAGGCAATTTCCACAGCTCCATATGGGAATACCTGTGTAATAGTGTATGAATCAGACCACCGTGACCTCAATTTACCTGGGAAAAGCTTTAGGCGAGAATTGAACAATAGCACTTACTGCCCCACAAGAAACTCTCTTCTCTGAATATGCATGTCATGAAACTTCTTAGTTCGCTCCTTGTATATTTTTGCTTATAAGCTTCCCGATGAAACTCATCCATTCATTCAGCTGAAGTAATCGATGTTCTCCCGCCGCTTGCAAATCCAGATTCAACCTTCGAAGTGCCCA